CAAAGGAGCCCTTGTTTAATGCTGAAGTAGCTCCTCTTCCTACACCTGGCTTAAAACAAAATGAAGTTCCCTTACAGATGTCTGGAATCACTCTGTGAGAGCTGGGAGCAAACACTCAGCTTCACTGCACCAGCCCAGCACTACCAACGCCTGGTGTAGTTGGGCCACTGTGAGCTGGGCCTTTCCCCCACTGGGTTGTACAAACACATAGATGCCTTCCTCTCCAAAAACATAGAACCATAGAGTCACAGAATCATAGAATTGCTCAGGTTGAAAAAGATCTTAAAGATCATCAAGTCCAGCCGCAACCAAACCATACTAGTCTAACAACCCATCACTAGCTGAAACAGACTAATGATGGGTAGAAGGGACACGGAGGGGCAAAGAATTATCAGGAATGAGGACAGCAGCACAGCTCCTGATGGCCAGAATGGCTTTGTCTCACTGTGCTGTGCTGTGCTCTCCCTATGACTTGTCCACCAGTGTTCTGATGGGATATGGGGAGGTAGCACGTGAGGAGGATATGGGAGTACTCAGGATAGCTGAGAGGAACAAGCTCCTAGAGGTGTGCTGCTCCTCCAGCAGTCCACTGAGCTGGGGCATGTTATTCCCCTCCTCCCTCTCTTCCCCTCTTGGCCAAGGGAAATCCTTCAGGCCTGAGCAGAGTATGGTGCAGCTGCAGAGAGTTCAAGATTATTTCTCCTACAGAGAGGAGAAAAAAAAAGTCACATGTGTTATTGATAGGCAGTGTAATGTACTGTGACATCCATGCTCAATCTTTGCACAGCACTGAGTCCTGTGCTCCACGGCTGGCATGAAGCTGAAGAGGAAAACAATGAGCTTCCTCTTTCTCCTCTTCTCCGTGTTGCATTGATGCAAAGTGAACAAAGCATGGCTGTGGGCAGCTATATCGGCGATCTCTGCTCCCCGTGGCAGATCAGCCTGCCAACACCTGCCTGGTGCCAGATCCGGGCACCACCTGCTGCTCTATAGCCATTTACCTCAGAGCTGAAGGGACTTTACAAAATCGATGTGTTAAATAACCAATTTTAGCAGGCACGGGGTTTCTTCCCCTATGGAGTAACAGCATGGCATTACAGGTTTACTAGCAGCACTCCAATTCTTGCTGGCAGCAGGCATCTGCTGTCTGATTAAGATTTGCAGAAGCAGGTCTCCAGTGGCTAGTTTCAACATGGATTTAACTTCAGCGAGGTCAAAGGTATAAACTGAGGGAGGAACTTTCTCCTCCAAGATCTTTATTTAATAGCAACCTGCTAATTATGATAGAGTGCTGGGCTGCTGGGGAGTCCCCTGCCAGCCCTTGGACATTAAATGCTGGCTCGGGGCCGTTTGCCAGGGAAGTCCTTGCAGAAATGGTGCTCTGTCCCCAGGCTGGAGCAGCTGCTGCTGGAATTGCCTGAGCAACTCTTGCACGGAGAGAACTGCTGCCACCGAGAGAGAGATCTTCATCTCTGCTATTGTTTAGTCTTTTGTCTGGTGACACTTGCGGCTGCATTAGCCACAGCCAGAATTTTTTTTTTTTTTCCCCATTTTTGTGCTTTTCAAAAGGGTAGGCAGGAGGTGGGAAGAGCTTCAGTTATCTGTTCGGTGGGTGGCAGTGTTTTGTTTTTCTCTCGCTGGCTGTCAGGGCGGATTCACTGCTGGGCTGTGGTTATGGCTCTGCACAATTCTCTTTACATGCTGCAGATGTGGATCTCAGCTCATGAAGATGCACTTAACCACTGCTTCTGGATTTGCCTCTCTGATCCCAGTTAAATCCTGTCCTCAATGACAACGTTTTGAACTGCAGCGTTACTCCTCCAGTAAAAACGGTGTAACCCTCCTGATGTAGATTTACATTCTTGTGAGCAGAATTAATCCTCCTGGATCTAGGCAGGATTGCCTTCCTATTTTCCTCCTTCATCACATAAATGTGGGCTGTTAGCCTGTGGCTGGCAGAGGTGACCAGAAAGCACTGAATAATCCACGTTTGCAGGTTAAAGCAATTTGTCTGCAATATGTGGAAACAAGGTGATGATTTCTGCAGAGATTTAAAATGGGCTGGTGCAATACAAATTGCACGCAGCCACTAGCCAATACATATTTTACGCACTGCACCAGGAAAGCTAAAGAATATATTGCTCAGACGTGCAGCATTAGCAAAGATCTGAAGCTGCACGCAATTTCACATTGAAAGCCAAGCCTGGTGGGGAGGGCTGGAGAGAAGGAGGGAGGAGGGGGGAAGGAATGAGACAAAAGGAATGGAAATCAGATGCTTTGTCAGTGAACTCGCTGCTCCTTGACTGGAAGGTGCCATAGTTGGAGAAAATTGGAAGGGTGTGTAGGTGATGATGTGAGGAATTAAGCTGTGTTGAAACGTTAACATTGGGCAGTGGTGGACCAGGCACATTCTTCTCTCACCTTTCCAGCAGAACCTCGCAGAGAAACAATGAAATTATGTGAAACACCAAGACACTGAAGAGGAGGAGGACTGAGATTTAAGGTGGAGAGGCTGTGGAGGTGATTTACACCTGCGAGGACCTCCCTGTGGAGGCACCAGAGCAGGAGGAGGCAGCGGGGCGGGGGAAGCTGCTGTTTGCTGATCTTGAACAAATGTAAGAAATACAAGCACACACTTTTGAAGTGTAAAGCAGGCACTGGTCTCACAAAGGCATCTATTTGCTGACGAGGCTTGTGACCACAGAAAGGACATTGTCCTTTCCAAGCGAAAGAGGAGAGAGACAAAGGCAGCGAGCGTGGTGCAAAGGAGCAGGCTGGGGGTTATTTCTCCACCAGTAACGCTGCTAAAATGACGAGGTGACATGCTCCAGCTCGCAGCGCTGACCTGTTCTCCCGGAGTGCTGTGGCGGGTGCTATGCAGCAGGAGGAAGGAGCCGAGCTTCCATCGGCATTCACGGCTGAGATGCAGACAAGCAGAGCAGGGTACCGGAATGATAGCACAGAGATTGAATACAGTCCACCCAGATCAATAGAGGAAACAAGGAGGCCCAAATAACCTTTTCTAGTTTATAAAAAAACAACTGCTTTGTACACAGATAAATTTATTCTAAAACAAGCAAACAAACAAACTGAACCAAACCAAAACAGAAAAGGGTGGAGAGAAGCGGGTGGTGCTCTGAATTTCATATAAATCCAAGCAGCTGCTTGGAAGAATAAAATTGTAATGGCAAAATTTTTGCCTTGGGGAATGAACATGCTGCAGCTGACAGAAGCACTGGAGGACAATGCTTGAAATCTATTTTCCTGACTCGGCAGCATTCTTGCCTAAAAGCTGCATGCTGGCTCTTCCAGGTGGGTGCAAAGGACAAAGAAGGATTGTCCACAATGCATAAACTCGAAGTAATACTCAGAGTAGACAGGCGATTTAATTTTTTAAAAATAAAAAATATTTTTTAAAAAGACAATCTCCATTTGAATCAAGAAATGGGTCTCCATGCAAGTTTACAAAAATAGGAAGAACTCTCAGCCACTTAAAATATTAGAGCTAGTTTCTAACAGGAGCTGCTCATGAAACAAGCACATTCTGATCACACAACTTTCTTCTCCTCTTAAGGTTGTGTAGACAACTGGGCTGATGGTAGTTTCAAGCTTCTACCAAAATAGCAACGTGGTAGCAGTGTAGAGGCTACAGATGAGAGGAGCCTGGGAGCACAGCCATATATAGTCCACATGAGTGGGTCTCTGATGGAGGTGTCTGAATGTGGCTCCAACATGATTTATAGCCCTACAGCTGTGTTTGCCTGGTGATTTGCAATCAGTGTTAGACTGTGAAGTGAAGGTGCTGAGAGGGGACTTCCCGTCTGCTGTGCATGTCTTGTCTCCCTGCCAAGGAAGACCCACTGACCTCTGTGTCACAGTGGGATTGCTTTACTTACCCAGAATTTTGCCACGTGCTCCAATGAACGTGAGCATTTTGCACAGCCTGAGGTTCTTCACATGGCTACGGCTTCACAGCAGGGATCTCACCCCAGTGTTTTCCCTTCTGAGCCTGAGGAGTGCTTCCTCCCCTGCTTTGCAGCCCTCTGGGACTGCCCTGGAGCGAGTTTACCGATGAATATAAAGAACTGAGGGTTTCACATGCATGAGAGAGGAGGTAGAAGCATTTGTCCTTTAGTCCCTTGGCTGTCGATAGTTTTCTCTGCTCCAGCTGTCTGCATGCCATTGGCATAAAAAAAACCACTTCAGAAATGGAAGAGTGAACATCTCCCACAGGGCTGTGAGACAGAAGGAAAGGCTCCTGAGAGGGAACTACAGCCATCAGATATTTCTGAGCAGGACTTGAGGGCTTTCCTGGGAAAGGAAAATGAACAAGAACAGCAGGGTGGCCTGACAGCCAGTCTACATCTCCCATGGCCTGGCAATGTCAATGAGCAGGATTAGGTGAATTCCAGAAGTCTTTGGCAACCTTTCTACTAAATGGCATTTAAAACTACCCCTTGTACCTACCACAGCAGTGTCCTGTTTCCAGGTCTGTTCTGGGCACTGGGTCCCCTTTGTTTCTTGGTACTGTGAAGCAGCATGGCCAAGTAACATCTACATGGACTTTTGGAATGCCTGCACATTTTGTAGGCATCACATTGTCCCTTTGCAACCTGTGAGCCCTGCCCAGGAGCACTCATGGCATTTGTAGCTTAGTCTTAGCAGATCTCAGAGGCTAAAATAGAAGCCTGCATGTACTGAACTGGGGAATCCCTATCACCTGCAGTGAGCCATCAATGTAAGCAGAGAACCAGACCATTGCTTCCCTGGAGAAATCTAAAATAACCTAAAGTAATCCTAAAGTAATCATGTGTTCACTATCATCAGCTGTCTGCCTTCTGAAGGCCCCTGCTGGAGGTCCACCTATGTATGGCTTATCTCTTGCTATACTCTGAAACTTAAGACAGGTGGGAACAGCCCCCACGAAGGTGTGAAATGGGCCTTGACAAACACGGGTGTTCTGCTGTGGTCCTGCCCACCCCTCCCTCTTTACCCTTCAAGGAGTGCTCAGGAGCCCCACACTGCCTGCTGAGAGGACTAACGTGGAAGCTAAAGGGAGTTCTCCTGTGAGAGAACCTTAGAAGGCTGGAGAACCTGAGATAAAGGCAGCATCAAGGGGGTGTACAAGGAAATTAAACTCATTTACTCTTTTGTGAAATTCTTATTGGACTATGATGTCTGCAGCTGCTATGCCTATGACTGTGGATTTAAATTGAGACATAATTTCTAGGACCAGGATGAATTTGTGTGCTCAGGGCAAGAACACCAGCCACAGAGGGCAACAATTAGGAATTCCTAGCATCATCACAAAATGTTCACAGTTGCTACAGAGGTAACAGCATGCCCAGAGCAGCAGCCTACAGGAAAGTCAGGGATATCTAGCACTCAATCTCCATGTCCTTTACTTTACAGCACCTTGAAAATGACCAGGAAGATCTTCACCAACACCAGGGAGCGATGGAGGCAGCAAAATGTCAACAGCGCCTTTGCCAAGCTGAGGAAACTTATTCCCACCCATCCACCAGACAAAAAACTGAGCAAAAATGAGACACTACGGCTAGCCATGAGGTACATCAACTTCCTTGTCAAGGTGCTGGGAGAGCCAGGCCTGCAGCAGACAGCAGTGGCAGCGCGAGGCAGCATCCTGGGATTCTTCCAGCAAGCCCCATGCTTGCAGAGTATGGAGGAGCTGACTCTCATTGAAAGCTGTGGTGCCTCCTCTCCTAGCATGAGCAGCAACATTGCAGAATGCTGGTCAGAGACTTCATCTCCTTAGCAGAGAACGAGAGATGCAGTCTTGGTGTTAGTCCAATAGTCATTATGTTTGTGGGTTGCTTCTCTATGTACAATGATTATTTATTTGTATTTATTACCGCTTCATTTAAGTTTCTGTTTAATGGCAAAGGAATTCCTTGGTCAGTTAGCAACTGAAAGAGCAGAGGGAAAGTGGTCATGCTCTGGGAACTAGGAAGGACTCACTGCTGTAACAGACAATTCTAAGGCAGAAGAGCCCCTGCCCTGACCTCCTCTGTCAGTTGGGGCCATAGAAATCCATCCAGTGGTTCTGGCAGGGGAAGAGATTATTCTCCCATGGCATTTTGAAGAAGCACTCTGAGCTTAAGAAATGATGAATGTGCCACAAAACATGTCCAAGAAAGATGCCTGACCATGGTAGTTTTGAGGGATGCAGTATTTTCTCCAGTCCTTCACTACTGGTTCTAGTAGCCACCTGTACTCACTGCAAATCTTATTTCCAACTTGAACATCTTTTAAAATACAAATCCTGGCCCTTGAACCTGGCTACATCTTTATCAGACTGGAGGAATCCTTAATGTTACAGCAAAATGATATTTAACAAAATTAAAAATTAGCTTAAAACAGAAGTGTTGTTTTAAAATAAAGGAAGAGTCACAGATGACTTTCAGTGAAATCTGTGAAGCCTATACCTAGCAGTGATAACGTGTACAATAAGGAAGCTGGCTGACTACCCTCCAGCTGCTATCAAAACCCATCAAGCAGGTTGCTGGCTAAATGCCTTTGTTCTTCAACAGCTGTAAAAATAGGGGAAGCCCTTGTTCTGAGCAAGAGGTGTCAGGAAAAAGGCCTAAATGACACTCTCAGAAACCCTTTATGGAACACAAGCGATCAGTGCCCTTCTCATGCACAGGTGGGATGCAATGAGCAATGTGCTCCAGAGCCTGTTTGGCACAGGCTGCATGCCAGGGGTCTTGGCAACCACCATGCTGTATTCAGGCAATAAGCAGGATGAGCAGAGTTCTGTGAGGGTGATCACTGTGGGTTGTTGCACACAAATCACTTTCCTGAATTATAACCTGTGTGAGAAAAGATCTGTCATGCTCGTGAAAGGTACAAAGCCGCTGAGAGCAAGAGAAAAAATTATGTTGGGCTCAAGTAGACCTGCTTCCAGGCCAACACGTGTTCCCTTTGACAAAAGTCCTTTCTATTTCCAAATGAAACAAGGTACATGTCAGTGTTTAGAAAAAAGCTGTTCATGGCAGGTAAAGAAATGGAGCATCCAGATGCCAAAGCATCTCTCTAGGCTGTTTCTTCTTATTTGTGACACAGGGAGCTGCCTTCAGGATACGGAGACAGGGATTGTTTAAGTAACACATACAGCCCTTCTGCCTGAGGATATTTGCCACCCACAGCTCAGTTGCATTTAAAGCTTCACCAAACAGCAGGCATACTTTTCTCCTTCCTCCTTGCATCTTTCAGGGCTGCACAAAAAAAAAAAAAAAAAAAAAAAAAAAAAAAACCAAAAAACAGGACTGGTTCTTGTGACGTGCATATTGTGCTGCTTAGTGCACTGACAAAACAACACTGCTCACTCGATCCAGGGTTGATGCTGTAGGGTGCAGGAATGTCAGTGGAAACCTTTGACAAAAACAAAAAAGTTTACATGGTTAATGACCATTTTGTTTCTGAACATTGTGAATCTCTACTTGCTTATTCCTGCATTACTGAGCTCTGAGAGCTAAAGATGGTAGAGGAGAGCAGCTGAGTGGAAACACATAGGAGTCTTTTGCATGGTCTGTGCAACTAGCACTGCCTTCTCCCCACCTCTGCATCAAAGGTAATGAGCCAAGACCTCCTCCTAGCTTTTCGATGAATTAGTCCAAATAAATCAGAGCACTTATTGGTGAGGTGTGATGGTGTTCTTTGTTCTATCAGCCATCTGCTATCCTAAGAAACGTGTCACCAAGACAAGTCAAAACATCTCATCAGCAGAATTATTGCCTGGGGAAGGCAAAAGGAAACCTGTCAGTTCTGTAATGTAACATGCTTGTAATATTCCCTATCCCTTAAAGTTCCTTTCTCAGTATTGTTTCGGTTCTCATCAACATTTTCTTCTCCTTTTCCATTTAGGAGCTCCCTACTTTCACATCCCATGTGTATTTGACTAGATCTATTGGCCAAAGAGCTTTTTGTCGTTTTTTTTTTTTCATTCGTGTTTTGGGGATTTCTTATCTGTATGATCAGGAACAAATATGATGCACCTGATCACATTTTACGCTACACTGTGTTATTTAACATCTAATATATTTTAAATAAATTATTTAAGAAATGAATCTCTCTTTGTTCTTAAAAATTTATCTAAAATTTCATTTTACGTTTGCATACCACTTGGCAGAGAATATCAGATTCACTGCAATGTAATTTCCAGTAAATATTCATTCTTCTATTCAGCTCTTACGCAAGATTCTTGATCTTAGAAACAACTTGGAAGTACTATCAGATGATGAACAACATCAGGAATTCTTTGTTTTTTTGTCAATCATACTTTCTGATGATTTTCCAGCTCAAAACGTTCAGTGGTACTTTATGATGTGCAAGAGATGCATTTTTGTACAAAACATGCCTGAGAAAGATGTCTCAGGAGATTCTATATAAAAATAATGAAATCAGCAAATGTGAACTTGAAGATATGTATTTGTACCATGCAAGGCTATGTCAACTCAGAGATGATCTTCTGCTTGCTGCAGGTAATGCCACACTGGTTGGTATGCTCAAAATTGTCTGGCAAGATAATGGCTCCCGTGGCGCAGAGATGTACCACATCAGTTGTAGCTGGCTGAAAATGTCTCTCACATATTGTGGCAGTGGTAAAACCTTACTATAAATGACTTAAGTGTCCCTAATAGTAAGACCCCTACTGTGTCTCCTACAGGTATCTATATATGCCGCTAAACTGGGTTGAGCGGCATTGTTTTCCTTTTTTGGGGTGGGGGGGAGGGAGAGGTGGGGAATAACATGGCTCTTAATACTGCATGGAAAACTAAGTAAGGTGGTCATTTTATAGAAGAATTTTTGGTATCTCCAGATAGTAAATGGTATGATGCAAGGTTAAAAAATAAGTTATGTTTCTCTTCAACTCATGGTACACACTAGCTTGAGTGGAATGAGGCGTCCTCACATGCCTTTGTGAAGCAGAAATCCTGATGAGTCATTCCTTTGCTCAGAATTTCCATCAAGATCAACAGAAGAATTTATCTCCACATTTCAGACTGAATGAAGATTACTTTTTTCAGAGGGTGGCTGCCAGGGCTGTCAGTAGAGAAGTGGCACTCTTCTGCTATTGCAGAACCTAGGCGAACTGTTGCCAGGAAAGTTAAAGTGTAAGTTAACCACATTACCCCTAAGAACAAGCCTGTTTTCCAGACTTGTGTTCATTATGTGGTCTTCCACATTCTCAATATCTGCTTTGTGCCTATGGATCGTAACTGAAGCGCTCCTTAGAGACTGGGGTTGAGTAAAGAAAGAAAAATGCTGAGACCATGTCTTGCAAGAAGGCTCTAGTTTTGTGTGAATTCTAGTGAGGGCCAGCCTGTGGTCAGAGGGAGGCCAGGCATAAAGTCAGGGTTTTGTCGTGGGATTCAGTGGATTCAAATCCTAGCTGACAAGAAACACACCACATCTAGCACTACATGTTGTGCAGTGTATACACAGGTCTGGATGGTGCCTTTTTTCTTTTTTTTTTCTTACCCAGATGTGTTGTCCAGATTGGCAAAATTCTGTGGTAAGACATGCACTCAGCAGCCTTATTAGTTATAGTGAGCCTAAATTAGGGAGGATGAAGCTACAGTGGACTTAAGGGAGACCCACGGGATTCTTGAGTCAGCCAAAGTAAATGGCAAAAAGGTGTTATTTAGGATACTAAGATACATCTCAGCATCTTGTTGTAAGCTCAAAGTAGAAGCTGCAGCACCAAGGTGTTCCAGAGATGCACAATTAAGCAAACATTTAGTAATTTATCTTCCTATATCTAAGTGTCTCTCATGAATTCATCTGCTACTAGAGAATGATATGCAGTGACCACAGCTAAAGTAGTGTGAGCAAGGCAGATCTGACTTTTGTCCTTTGAAGGCTGGCTGATGAAAAGAGGTGGAGAGAATAGGCGACTTAACTACTGACCTGTGGGGCAGAGGTCACTTGAGAGCCAATCTTAAATCTAAAAGCCAAAGACGAAGTGTCAGAATTGAAATCCATCAGTTTTCAGGGATATAATTGTATTTTTAGTACAGCAGCTGCTATGAGAATTGAAAGGGGGAAGGTGAATAGAAGGGAAGAAGCTCAAACAAGTAGAGGTAACAGAAAGTAGACAGGTTACTCTGTATCTGATCAAGAGATGTATCTGGTTGAATTTATCATCATTGTTCTGTTGATAAGCCACCGCTGAGTCTTCACCGCACTCTGGGTTGGTCCAGGCTTTTTCTGTGAGAAACAGACTCATCCCATTGTATTCTCAGCCAGCCCTTTTCCTATGTTTGTGAACAAGTGCATATCCCATCCCTCCATGGTTTGTTTTGCTGCCACCATATTGCAAAACCAACAGTGCACAACTGAGGGTCCTCTGCTAAGTTCCAGGTGTGGCATCTTTTGGAAAAAGACCCCCTGGCAAAAACACAGGCAAAGAGCAGCCATCTTTGGGGTGAAAGGCCTGGAACACAAATCTCATGAAGAGCAGCAGAGAGAACTGGGGTTGTTCAGCCTAAAGAGGAGGCACAGGGAAGACCTTATTGCTCTCTACAGCCACCTGAAAGAGTGTTCTGGCAAGGTGGGGGTTGTCCTCGTTTCCCAGATAACAGAGATAGGATGAGAGGGAATGGTCTCAACTTGTGCCAGGGGAGATTCAGGTTGGATATTAGGAAGAACTGGAATAAGCTGCCCAGGGAGGTTATGGAGTCACCATCCCTAGAGGTCTTTAAGCAAAGTGCAGACGTAGTACTTGGGGACATGGCTTAGTGGGCAATATTGGTGGTAGATGGGTGGTTGATCTAGATGATCTTAGAGGTTTTTTCCAACCTTAATGACTCTATGATTCTGTGTATGCAATTCTTCTGCTGAGTGTCAGTGTCACAAAAGAGCATAGAGGTAGCTCAGGATGAAGGGTAGGAAGAAGTCCTTGTTGTGGGCCTCAGTATGGACTACGCTGGGCCTCAGATGTGTCTTCTAACTTTTGTGTTGGCAAGCAAAGCAGGGACGTATTCACAGGTAGAAGGAAGAAGTTTCCCATGATCGCACCTTTCTGTTCCATTACACCTGGCTGGTTCTGAACAACACTGAATAGCTCAGACCTGGGGAAGAGCCTTCACAGTGTTCAAGGTTAGCCACAAAATACCACTGTATGATGCCTAAGAAACCCGTCATTGCTTAACAGGGGTGAACCCAGGATGCAGATCGTTGTTAACAGTGGAGTTGGTTCACAGCATTGGTTTTCTCTTGGTGACTGTTTTTGGCAAACGTTAGATGACCTGGAGCTGAGAGAGGCTAGGAACAGCAGTATTAAATCTTCATCAAATCAAAGAGAATTACTGTGTTCTGATATGTAAATATATAACCAGCCAAAATATGATCTACAGAAATCCCAGATTCAAGGCTACATTATTAAATTCAAGCTTTAGAAGGATTTACATGTACTGGAAAGATGTAAGGACTTCCAAGAGGAAACTACAATGGCTAAAAGTACTCAGACTGGAAGGAGGCTCTTAAACCTAGTAAACTAGGCACAGAAATTCAGGCCAACTGACTGTGTATTTTACTGCCTGTAGGGTGAAAAACGTTTCAGAAGAAAGTATTTGGCCCTATTAAGAGCTGAGTAACAGCTTCTGTTGTGATCTCTGTCGCTCTGAATGGGAAAAGCCCATTGCCAAATGTGAGGATGGCTGCTGGCGCACCAGAGCAAGTGAGCCTGGCAGGCTGCATCTGCCAAAAGCATTCAGCACTGGCACTACTTTGGATGGGAAATGTTCCCTTTGCTGCAAAGGCAGCAGAAATAACCTGGTGCTGAAGGGAGCTGCCCTTTCTGGCTCCTTTTTTTCTCTGTGTTTCCAGGCACAGAAGAGCTGCCAGCTGCTGTGTGGTGAACATGCCCAGCCAAAGCATTTGGCAGAGGATATTCCAGTCTCAAAGGACACGTTTCTGCACAGACACAATGCGAACGGGTATTCCCCACCACCTAGATATGGGCATGAGGAGAAAAACTCATTACAGGCAGTGTTAGCAGACAAATTTTAACAATCTATTTTGATTGAACTGGTGAGCAGATTAGAAAATATTTGTATATATATTCCTCTCATCATCTATTGGACACTTGCTAAAGTTCACTTCTGGTCATGTGCAAATTCTGTCTTTAATATCTAATTCTTCTTTCACATGAAGGGAAAAGAAAAATAACAAAAATGAAAAGGAAATACCTTTGAAAGCGAG